GTAGAATTCACTTAACAATTAATTTTTGAGTTAGTTCTTTTTAGTAAATAAGGTGCACCTTTTTTTTATTCTCGGGGCTTGTTGTAAACAGGGGAACCAGAGTCCCCATTCAGAAGACGCTAAAAAGTTAAGACTCTAGAATTGTGGGGGCCTATTGAATGTTCAAGAAGGCTGTATATTTAATAGCAATGCTTTTTTGGGGGGAAATAGACATTTGAAACGTATTGTGTAAGGAAATATTAAGAAGCAAAGGGCTTGATAGCCTGTCGTGTTTTCAAGTAACTCTTTGGATGGAAACGCCTGGAGATTGGTGACGGCCTGGTGTTCCTTCGTCTTGGCTCAGATACAAGCAAACTCTTGAGCGGTGTCCCCTCTAAGCTGAGTTAGTGTGAGCTTGCTCGACATTTTCTAGCCTCCGGCTCACACATTCACATATCAGGAAGGATGGCTCCAGAGCAAACTAATTGATGCAGGAGCCAAATCGCTCGCTCACAACTTTAATGCCAGCAGCTCACAAAGTAGAACTTTTGCTCACAGGACTCCACAGCTTAGAGGGAGCATCGCTCTTGAGTCCTTCAAAGAAAACTGATTTTTAAGTTTGAAGAGCTAGCATTTCTCACAGGTGCTGTGTACCAGAGACAGGGGTAGGGGTTGGGGAGTGGATCAACAGTGTGTGGTGCCAGACAGGTACATGGGTGTGTATCCTAGGGGGAATGCTTCCGTTGCCCAAACAGGTATTGTCGCATCCCACTGTCAAAACAGCACGTGCAATTTCCTCCTCCTCTTCCTCTCGGGACCCCGTCTTCCATACCTCCGAAGCATTTTTGGAAAATAAAGAGTTACAGGTTTTTTCCCTATGTCACGTTGGGAAAAAAAATTAATTTAAGCGCTGTCCTACGTTGAATGGTTTCCCTGTTTTAAAAGGGGGAAAGAAAATCTAATGGTCTTTAGGTGTGATTCTTAAGACAAACCCGAGTTTGTGGTTATCAAGGTGGCGGGACTTACTCTGGCTTCTTACGTGCACGTAGCAGCGCGTCACAGAATTCTTTGGCAGTTAGCGTCCTACCTGGTCTGTGCACGGGATTGCAAACATGAAATTGTTTCTTTGTTGTTGTTTTAAACCGTGGCTTACCCCAAAGATGCAGAGATGCAAATTAATACATAAATTCAGGCAGGCAGCCGTGTTGGTCTGATGCAGTGGAACAAAGTTAAGAGTCCAGTGGCACTTTTAAGGCCAAGAAAGTTTAATTCTGGGTATCATAACCGATGCTCCCTCTAAGTTGTGGAGTCTTGTGAGCAAAAATTCTGCTTTGTGAGCCACTGGCATTAAGGTTGTGAGCCAGCGATTTGGCTGCTGCCTCAGTTATTTTGCTCTGGAGCCGTCCTTCCTGAGCTCAGACGAAAATCCGTGAGCCGGAGACTAAAAAACTGTGAGCTAGCTCACGCTAACTCAGCTTAGAGAGAACACTAACTTGAATAAAACTTTGTTGGTCTTAAAAGTGCCACACTGTGGACTCTTAACTTTGTAATACACAAATTGTCGTCTATGTGTTTTTTTACAACAGTCGTTTTATTGATATTGTAAGGCACCCGGAGTTCCACAAGGTAAGAAGGTGGATGTCTCAGATAAATGCATGTAAACGTCATGAAATCAGATTAATTAAAACCCATCTCTCGCTCTGTCTCTCTCTCTCTTTTTGCAGTATGGTCACTGAAAATTCTTTCAGGCACGAAAAGCAGTTGGTCTCTAAACTCCAGGACTCACCAGTCCTGGGGGTGAAAAAATCTGAAGTTTTCACCCTACAGCATATTTTACTGAACTGCTTTTGGTCACAGCCACTGTGTGTTTTTTTTCCACCCTTCGGTATGAATCACTGGTGCAAAAAAAGAGAGAGAGAGAGAGAGAGAGCTTCATTTTATATCTTGCACATTTCGGAAGTAGGAGAGGCGCTATACGGTAGGCGGAATTTAGTAGTGGGGGGGAGGGAGTTGCATTTACATAACCTACATTGGAGAGTGCAGAAGATTGGAGGCCTTGGGGTGGTGGTGGTGGTGTTGTTGGTGGTGGGGAGGAATATATCCTTTTTTAAAAAACGGTCGGCAGTGTTCTGGTGACCCACTTCAGATGGTCCCCCCCGCCCCCCCCGCCGCCTTCTTTGGAAATGCCGTTTCTGTCTCGAAAAGAGAGGACAAGCGGAGACAGCTCCAGTTGCAACGGCTTCTTGGCAAAAAAGGACGCGCCAGGGAGAAAAAGAAACTGTGCTGGAAGCCGAAGGCTCTGGTTACAGAGTCCAAAGACTATTTAATGCAGTAAAGGGACGAGAGAGACAGAGGGCAAAGTCCAGTTTAAGGGGCTGCAGGCCAGTAAGAGAAAGTCCAAAAGCTTCTTCCTCCTCCTAAAATAAAAAATGAGTTTTTTTTTTTTTGGTTAGCCAGGGGGGTTAAAAAAACCCCACTTTTACTTTGACACTTTGGTGGGAGAGCAGGAGGGGGCGGAGGAGTGGGAGGGCGCCATATGTTGTGGAGTTCTGCCGTTCCCCCTTGTGTGGACTGTGCTCACCCATAACCTCCCCCCCCTCCTCTCTCCCCCCTTGGTTTTTTTTTTTGCAGAGCAGCTGCTGGGGGAATCTGTGCAGGCAGGGCCCCCGGGCGCCAGCGCTCCCTCTGAGCTGTGGAGTCTGGTGAGCAGAAATTCTGATTTTGTGAGCTCCTGGCATTAAAGTGGCGAGTGAGCGATTTGGCTGCTGCACCCGGTTTGCTCTGGGGCCATCCCTTCCTGAGCGGAGACAAACATCTGTGAGCCGGAGGCTAAAAAAACTGTCCGCTGGCTCGCACTAGCTCAGCTTCGAGGGAACACCGATGGGCGCCGTGTGGTTTTTGTGCAGGGCCTCGAAGGCCAGGCCGGGGGAAAGAACCCGTCCGCCAAAATCTGCTCTCTGCAAGCGACTTGTGGATTTCAGCCCCCAGTCTCGGACCTAAAATGCAAGCTGATGGGGTTTAATGGTCCCTCCCAACATTGTCCCCCCCCCCCCCCAACTCCCCTCTTGGGGTAGTGGAGTGTAGTGGTTAAGTGTGCAGACTCAAATCTGGGAGAACCGGGTTCCATTCCCCACTCCTCCACTTGCACCTGCTGGATGACCTTGGGCAAGCCGTAGTTCTGTCAGAGCTGTTCTTGAAAAAGAGCCGTTCCTGTCAGAGCTCTCTCAGCCCTGCCTGCCTCACAGGGTGTCTGTTGTGGGGAGGGGAAGGGAAAGGAGTTTGTAAGCCGCTCTGAATCCAATCTCCTCCTCCTCTCCACTCTGGTTGGGGATGGCGAATGAGGGGTTTTCGCTTCCTCTGGTGTGTCTGCGTTTCTTCTGCCTCTATCCCCCCCCCCCGCCCCCTTTTGTGTTCCTTCTGGGCAAACAAGTTTGCAGGGCTTTGGGGGGCAGAAGCCCAAAACCTGTTTACCAGAGGGAGATTTTTTAAAAAAACTATCAAGTCGCAACCGCTGCTTTCACATGTGCTAAATAATGCAGATTCAATCCACTTCGGAGACCATTTGCAAGTGGATTTTGCCGTTTCACACAGTCAAATCCAGTTGCAAAGTGCATTGAAAGTGCGTTTTTAGTGTTTTTGAAAGCACCCTGAAAACAGAGGTGGTCTGCATAACAGCTCTGGATTGTCTTAGTGGTCTCTGATCCAACTACTAACCAGGGACGACCCTGCCGGTTTGGTGTAGGGGTTAGGAGCGCGGACTCTAATCTGTGAGAACCGGGTTTGATTCCCCACTCCTCCACATGCAGCTGCTGGTGTGACCTTGGGTCAGACACAAGTTATCTCGGAGCTGTTCTCTCGAGGGCAGTTATCTCAGAGCTCTCTTAGCCCCACTTACCCCACAGGCACTGTTCCCTCTAAGAAGAGTTAGTGTGAGCCAGCTCACAGGTTTTTAGCCTCCGGCTCACACATTTTTTGTCTTAACTCAAGGAAGGATGGCTCCAGAGCAAACTAATTTATGCAGGAGCCAAATCGTTCACCCACAAAGTAGAATTTTGGCTCACAAGACTCCACAGCTTAGAGGGAGCATTGCTGAAAGGGTGTCTGTGATGGGGAGAGGAAGGGAAAGGAGTTTGTAAGCTGCTCTGAGACTCCAAGTGAAGGGCAGGGTATAAATCCAATCTCTTCTTCAGTTTGGTGTGGTGGTTAAGTGCGCGGACTTTAATATGAGAAAACCAGGTTTGATTCCCCACTCCTCCACTTGCACCTGCTGGATGACCTTGAGCAAGCCATAGTTCTGGCACAGCTGTTTTTGAAAAACAACAGTTTCTGTCAGAGCTCTCTCAGCCCCACCTACCTCACAGGGTGCCTGTTGTGGGGAGGGAAAGGAGATTCCTTTGGGTAGTGAAGGGCGGGGTATAAATCCAATCTCCTCCTCCTCCTCCTCTTCCTCCTCCTTCTTCTTCCTAGGATGTGGCGTTTGATTCTGTGTGACAGTGTATGCAGACAAATCTTCCCTAAAGTTTACGGGGTGTCTTCATTTTCTTCCGAAAACTCGCAACTGTTTTGCATGGCTAAAGATCGGATGTGGCCATTTGATGAATTCAGCGTACAGGTAGAAGATGCTGTCAAAGATCTCCACCCTGAGACCCTGGAGAGCCATTGCCAGTCCGAGTAGTTAACCCTGACCTCGAGGGACCCATAATCCGATTCAGTATACTGCACCCACATGGGTTCAAGCCATCTTGCTTTCCGGGAGGGGCAGTGGCTCAGTGGCAGAGGATATGCTTGGCATGCAGAAGGCCCCAGGTTCAATCCCCGGCAGCTCCAGCTAAAGGGCCAGGCAGGAGGTGATGTGAAAGACCTCCCCTGAGACCCTGGAGAGCCATGAAGTGGGGCTGTGACTCAGTGGCAGAGCCTCTGCTTGGCACGCAGAAGGTCCCAGGTTCAATCCCCGGCAATCTCCAGTTAAGCCTGTAGGTGATAGGAAAGACCTCCCCTGAGACCCTGGAGAGCCATGAAGTGGGGCTGTGGCTCAGTGGCAGAGCCTCTGCTTGGCATGCAGAAGGCCCCGGGTTCAATCCCCGGCAGCTCCAGCTAAAAGGACCAGGCAGGAGGTGAATTGAAAGACCTCCCCTGAGACCCTGGAGAGCCATGAAGTGGGGCTGTGGCTCAGGGGCAGAACCTCTGCTTGGCATGCAGAAGGTCCCAGGTTCAATCCCCGGCAGCTCCAGCTAAAGGACCGGGCAGGAGGTGATGTGAAAGACCTCGGCCTGAGACCCTGGAGAGCGTCTGCCAGTCTGAGTACACAATACTCACCTCGATGGACCCAGGGTCTGTTTCAGCACAAGGCCGAGTCATGTGTTCATGTGGTAGGGCGGACATATTCTCGCACTGTTAAGATCCTATTCGGTGCATAACAATGTAAAGTTGTCTTGCCTTGGGTGGCGTCCCGTGGACTTTGGGGGGAGGGGGGAAGGCTGTTTATTTATTTTATTTATTTATCTTTTGCATTTCTATCTCGCCCATCCCGTAAACGGGCTCACAACATTTCAATAAATACAATAAGATTTAAAACACATTAAAACATATGAAATCAATAGTCATGCTTGCCGTAGGAAGAATCCAGCCCATTGATGTAACTAGGTATGGCCGGTTATCAGTGGGTGGGTGCTCGCAACCTCGGGGTGTGTGTGTGTGGCTATATGTGGACGCCCACTGCCTCGGCCAAAGGCCTGGCGGAACAGTTCCGTCTGGCAGGCCCTGCAGAACTGAATAAGATCCAACTATGTCGGATCAACCCAGTCCCCGTTTTACCGTATATGACTCTGTTTTCGGTCATCTGATGTTGCGTCTGTTGTTTCACATTGAGTGCGCTGGGTAAGAACGAAACCAATCAGCTGTCAGGGGGACTTCATTGATACTCGGAGAGTCCCCAGATAGGAGGAACTGTGGCTCAGCGGCAGAGCATCTGCCTGCCATGCAGAAGGTCCCAGGTTCAATCCCCGGCATCTCCAGTTAAAAGGACCAGGCAGTAGGTGATGTGAAAGACCCCCCCTGAGACCCTTGAGAGCCATGAAGTGTGGCTGTGGCTCAGTGGCAGAGCATCTGCTTGGCATGCAGAAGGTCCCAGGTTCAATCCCCGGCATCTCCAGTTAAAAGGACCAGGCAGTAGGTGATGTGAAAGACCCCCCCTGAGACCCTTGAGAGCCATGAAGTGTGGCTGTGGCTCAGTGGCAGAGCATCTGCTTGGCATGCAGAAGGTCCCAGGTTCAATCCCCGGCATCTCCAGTTAAAGGACCAGGCTGTAGGTGATGTGAAAGACCTCCCCTGAGACCCTGGAGAGCCATGAAGTGGGGCTGTGGCTCAGGGGCAGAGCATCTGCTTGGCATGCAGAAGGTCCCAGGTTCAATCCCCGGCGTCTCCAGTTAAAGGACCAGGCTGTAGGTGATGTGAAAGACCTCCCCTGAGACCCTGGAGAGCCATGAAGTGGGGCTGTGGCTCAGGGGCAGAGCATCTGCTTGGCATGCAGAAGGTCCCAGGTTCAATCCCCAGCATCTCCAGTTAAAGGACCAGGCCGTAGGTGATGTGAAAGACCTCTGCCTGAGACCATGGAGAACTGCTGGCAGTCTGAGTCAAAAATCTAGACTTTGATGGACCAGAGGTCTGATTTGGTATAAAGCACTTTCATGCGTCTTCGTGTGTCCAGTTTTTGTAGCCTTTGAACAGAAGAAGAGAGAAGAGATTGGATTTATACCCTGCCCTTTGCTACCCAGAGGAGTCTCAGAGCGGCTTACAAACTCCTTTCCCTTCCCTTCCCCTCCCCTCCCCTCCCCACAACAGACACCCTGTGAGGCAGGTGGGGCTGAAAGAGCTCTGACAGAAACTGTTCTTTTTCAAGAACAGCTGTGCCAGAACTATGGCTTGCCCAAGGTCATCCAGCAGGTGCAAGCAGAGGAGTGGGGAATCAAACCCAGTTCTCCCAGATTAGAGTCCACGCACTTAAGCACTACACCAGACTGGCTCTTTGTGGATGTGTTCCGATGACCTGACCTTGCAAATTGGTTCTTGGAAGTTATATGTGTGTCGCGGAGGTTGTATTCCTTCTGTGCCCCTTCCCCTTTTCACCTCCAGAAGTCGAACATAAGAACATAAGAGAAGCCAATGTTGGATCAGGCCAATGGCCCATCCAGTCCAACACTCTGTGTCACACAGTGGCCCAAAATACCAGGTGCCCTCAGGAGTTCCACCAGTGGGGCCAGGACACTAGAAGCCCTCCCACTGTTGCCTCCCCCAAGCACCAGGAACGCGAAGTTGACCTGTTAAGGCTGCACACTGTAAATCAGCGGTGTCGAACTCATTTGCTATGAGGGCCAGATCTGACATAAATGAGACCTTGTTGGGCCGGGTCGTGTGTGTCATAAAATGTAATGCCAGGTAGCAGAGATATAAACTTTATCAAGGACACAAACACAAAGGGGTGTTTTTAACTTAAAATAAAAACATGCTTAAAACATTAGCACTCTTGCAATATTTTGTTTATTGAACAGTGACTGGTAACTGACACCTCTTGCTCTGAATTATTGCATCAAAATGTCTGTGCTGTTGCAATCTTGAGTATGCCGTTCAGGTGTGTTCCTGTAAGCTGCAAACCTACGATGACGCAGCAGCAGCGGAACTGGAAGAAGCAGCAGAAGACAGCCGGTTGCACTGCGGGCCTGATAGGAGCCTCCAGGGGCCAGCCGCATGTTTGACACCCTTCGGTTAGAGGGAGCATTGGCCAGAACTAATTATCTAACGCTTCCTCAACATGAGATATTTTTAAAGCCAGTCCAAACCAAAGGTCTGTATCTGTTTTGCAGGCATCATTCACGCTAGAGGATTAGTTCGGGAGTGTTTGGCAGAGACCGAGCGGAACGCGCGATCCTAGCTTGCCCTCTCGAGCGGCGAGGTTTTCCACCTCTTTACGAACAAGACAGAGGATTCCTTTGGAGACGATGGGAACATTCAGAAAAAAACCTTAATTGGACTATTCTCTCCTCCCCCTGCCCTTTTCAAGAATGTGGGCTGGGACCCAAAGAGCGACTTGAGATGAGGGAAAACCATAGAATTTTCCCTCGGATGACCGTGGCCCCGCCCCCAGCGTGCCCGGCATGGTCGCGTCACTTCCGGGTGACGTGCACGTCACGTACTTTGGGGGTGGGGTTCCCCCTGAGGCCCGATCCGCCGGCCGCGGGGAATGGGCCTCTGGGGCGGGGGTTTCCCCGCCCCCCGGGGGGACTTGGCAAGCCTAGACCGGGCCTAGGTGTAACATCGATTTAGAAGATGTTTGGCTCTGTGGTCCTATGTCAGTGCATGACTGTGTGTAGTTAAAAAGGGTCTTTGGTGGTACGTGCTTAAGGAGGAAGGTGAGGTTGTTCTGGTGGATGGGTGGGTGGAACGAGCACTCTTTTAGCACCACGGCGGAGGAACTTCAGAGTGCAGCTTGCACTCAGTTCTGTCTGGCGAGCTGCGCATGGCGCAGTCTGGAAATCTCTTCCTGTCCTGCGTCTCAGCGAAATGAGGAACGAGTTCTCTGCCTTGTCTTCCTTTCTGAGTATGGCCTTAGTCTAAGGGGCATTTACTGGAACTGCTGTGCATCTATAAACGAAACTGAAAGAGTATTGCAGGACATCAGATTGCCAACATCCTCTGCAGTGGTGGTGGAAGGGGGCATGCGCTTGTTATTCATCCAGCTATTTATCTACTTTATCCAGTTATTTATCTATTTATTGAGAGCCAGTTTGGTGTCGTGGTTAAGTGAACTGCTGTGCATCTATAACGAAACTGAAAGAGTATTGCAGGACATCAGATTGCGAACATTTTGGAGAAAGAAGTGCAAAGGGCAAAGGTTTTTATACCTCTGCAGTGGTGGTGGAAGGGGGCATGCGCTTGTTATTCATCCAGCTATTTATCTACTTTATCTAGTTATTTATCTATTTATTGAGAGCCAGTTTGGTGTCGTGGTTAAGTGCGCGGACTCTAATCTGGGAGAACCGGGTTTGATTCCCCACTCCTCCACTTGCACCTGTTGGATGACCTTGGGCAAGCCGTAGTTCTGATAAGAGCTGTTCTTGAAAAAGAGCATTTCCCGAAAGAGCTCTCTCAGCCCCACCTCCCTCACAGGGTGTCTGTTGTGGGGAGGGGAAGGGAAAGGGAAAGGAGTGTGTAAGCCGCTCTGAGACTCCTTTGGGTAGTGAAGGGCAGGGTATAAATTCATTCATTCTTCTTCTTCTCTGCCTTTTGCCCCGGTGAGGACCCAAAACTCCTTGCAACATTCCCCTCTCCTCCATTTTATCCTCACAACAACCCTTTGAGGCAGGTTATTATTATTTATTTTATTATTTCATTACATTTATACCCCGCCCTCCCCGCGAACGGGCTCAGGGCGGCTCACATAGGGCACCAAGTGCGTTCAATATACAAAATTACATAATAGAAAATACAAATTAAAACAAGTTAAAATCAGTTCTATGGATGCATATAAAGACTCCTAACATCTTGCGTAGCAGGGGGGAAGGTCTGAAAGTACGTGACTGGCCTCAGGTCACCCGGCAAGCTTCCGTGGCACGAGCGGGGATTCGAACCTGGGTTTCCCAGATCCTAGGCTGACACTTTAACCACTACACCGCACTGGCTTTCTGGTTCTTTACGGTACCTAAAGCTTGTGGATAGCTGGAGGTATTCAGACATGGAGAAGGTGCGTGATACAGGCTACCATGGCTGCTCCTCTGGAATTATATCAGATATGCCTGTTCTAAACAAATTGAACAAGAGGGGCTGTGGCTCAGGGGCAGAGCATCTGCTTGGCATGCGGGAGGTCCCAGGTTCAATCCCCGGCATCTCCAGTTAAAGGACCAGGTTGTAGGTGATGTGAAAGACCTCCCCTGAGACCCTGGAGAGCCATGAACTGGGGCTGTGGCTCAGTGACAGAGCCTCTGCTTGGCATGCAGGAGGTTCCAGGTTCAATCCCCGGCATCTCCAGTTAGACCAGGCTGTAGGTCATGTGAACGACCTCCCCTGATACCTTGGAGAGCCATGAACTGGGGCTGTGGCT